CCGGCCCGGCCAGCTCCGCGCCGCCGCTCCCCCGCGGGGCAGTGTGGGTCCGCCCCTCCGGCGCACCGGGGGTGGTACCACGGCCGCAGCAGTGCGAAGAGCARTACAACATTCCGACCAAGGAAATAATTATTTTTTAATTTAATAACAAACCAGAAGAAACATTCTGTCTGGTTCTGCCTGGCCAGCGGATGGAGGGACTGGAGCATCTCTCTTACGAGGAAAGGCTGAGGGAGCTGGGCACATCACTGGGAGGGGTGTCAAAAGAACGGACCAGGCTCTGTCCACTTGGACAAGAGGAACAAGCAGGAACTGATGCCCAGAAAGTTCCACCTGAACATRAGGAAGAACTTCTTTACTGTGCAGTGACTGAGCACTGGAACAGATTGTCCAGAGAGGGTGTGGAGTCTCCTCACTGGAGATATTCCAGAACTGTCCGGACACAATCCTGTACCCTGTGCTCTGGGATGGCCCTGCTGGAGCAGGGAGATTGGACCAGATCCCCTACGGTGGTCCCTTCCCGCCTGACTCAGTCTGTGATTCATTTTTTGGGAAAAAGTCTCTCATGCCCAAACACCAAATCCCTCAGCTCTGCACTGCAAAGGCATTCCCCAGCAACTAGACTTGAAAGTGAGACAAGCAGCACAAAATGTCATTAGTTAATGGATACTCTGCAAAGCTRTGTCTATGTCTATGTTTATCTTGCTCATCCGCTAATGCAGATTAGGTAAATCCACTTAKTTCCTAGTGCTGCCAACAAATATTCCTCGCCCCTCCTCTGACTGCAGGGAGAAACTGATCCTTCAGCGACTGCACTGCTCTCACCAGGACACGGAACAAGGAAAGTGGCCTTTGATCTSCACCACTGACGTGGCTGGCATTAAATGAACACACAAATGCATTTCTAAGAGACTAAAGCATGCCCAGATCGATGCAACAGACAGAACAATTAGAGAGTTTATGCCCTCGGTGCTCAAGCTAGGATAATGCACAGGACAGAACTCTGCAGCAGACAGAATGAGCTACATGTAAGAATACATGAAGTACTTGTTTGATAATCTGGATGTGTTTAGGGTTGAGGCATCACAGAGATGATGAGCCATTATCCTGACACCACACACACATCCAAGCACAGTTGCACACTCAGAGTCCCGGCAGAGCCTGCCTGCCCACTGCTCCATTCTCCAGGGCAAACAGGATCAGTTTCCTGGCTGTGGCCACAGCAGCTCCCCCACCCTGACCCCGCCAGCAATTCCACAGTCTGGTAGGACACAGGCATTTTGCTACAGGCCACTCTGGCGAGTAATTACTCTGCAATTTGTTAGCTCAGAGGCAGCCAAGAGCACTCAGCTCAGAAACGCCTTGCACTCAGAGCTAGAGAGGACCTGGCACAGCAGGGCTTGGCAGCAGCCAGTCTGCCTTGCACAGTTACACACTGCATTTCTGTGCATTTATTACATTTCTGTGATGGCTGGCAGAGATCAGCACTGCCTTAAAAGYTTCCCTTTTACATTACAATTTGGGTCATGCTTGGGACTGGTAGCAACTCCACTGAATATGAATGCAATTACAGTGCTGTTGGTTTTCTCTCATTCTTTCCATTTAGTCTTCTTTTGTATTTCTGTTACCATCACTTTGCCCCTGATTTGCCTTTACCTTTCTGTTTTCCATCTTTTAGATTCATATAGTGACAGAAGGGATCTACCATTGGTATTACCAAGTTCTCAGATGGTTATCAGGCTGAAAATAATAGACTCCCACCCCCTCCAAATTCTAGTTTGGTTTCTAGTTTCTCCACCACAGTTTAGCAAACGTACAAGATTCTGTCCTTCTCTTAAACAGTGCTCCCTTGGACAAAAAACTGATGTACAAATGAATAAAGTTCAGTGTAGCAAAAGCATGCCCAAAACAGAGCTCCAGCTCTACTCTGGCACCCAWCTGGCTGCCCCAGTTTTTTTGGTGGTGTCGTGTCCCCCTGCCCCAGTCASACCCCTGAAGTGATAAAGCCTCAGAGAACCACCTGCCAATTTATTCAGCTCCAGGGGCTCAGGGCTCAGTACTAGCCCCCAAAGGCTGATTTCCACAGGCAAGGGACACAAGTCTGACCCAGCCCCTCGAACAGGGATGGAACCCCCTCTTCCATTCTGGGTGGCCAGGGACTTTGGGGAAGGGACTCTGGCAGTGTTGTCTTTTACAGAAACACAAGAGAACATGTGGATAAAAGCACATCACTTCTTGACACTCAGGAAAAAAAGGCACTTAAGAGGTAGCAACAAAACCAATCTGGAAATGCTCACAACCCCAGAGCACACAAATGTGGTAATCTGAGTCATAAACACATCATTTGCTGCTTTCTTACAAAGCAGAGAAAGCTGCACTGCTGACAGCAAGAGAGAAGAATGTGTTTGTGATGTTAGTTGCTTGCTACCAATAATTGAGCTTTTGATTTATTCTGGGGTTTATTTTTAAAGTTTTAATTTGGCAGCTATGCTTTCCACTTTTTCAATTTTATTATTTTTTTTTTTTTTGTTTGATCATTTGCATCAAGTAACACAAAGCCTGTTTCTGTAATTTAGAGCTTTGATTGTTCTGGAGTGGATTATTCACAATAGGTAATAATAGATAAATACTGAGAGCATCCAGAAAAGCTGAACAGTGTCAGACTCAGACTTGGCTGTTAGGTATTCTGTTCCTTAGACAGAAACACTCCATGGCTGSAGATGTCCAATTTCAAATGCCATTCACTCAGACCTGTACAACAATGTTAGTCACCCATAAGACTCTGAACAGGCTCTACTTTGCCTCTTGTCCCAGGGTACATGAGCCAAGATCAGTGGGAATGCAGAGCTTCAAATCCCTACAGGGATGGCTGTTTGTGATCCCGTTCTTTGGCTACCACTAGGGAATCATCACAATCCYTTGAGCTAGAATAAAACAAGACATCGGGCTGTAAATAAGTTTTACTAAAAATATTTGAACAAAGTATCACAAAGTTTTTACAGTAGCTGCTGAAATATCCAGCATTTAAGCAACTCATCCAAGCATGGTTACAAACCACAAAAAGGGTAACAGGTTTTAGACATGGCATGTGTTTTAGAAAGAACCAAATCTCCTCCAAAGTCACTCATAAGATCTGCCTTGAAGGTACCTCTAGACAGGTTCCAGGTCATTCTGGTAAACTAAACAGGTGTAATARCCTAAGTTACTTCTCAACGCAACAAAACCCAGCATGAGAAGATGTGCACACTCAGAATCAGAACAGAGCAGACAGCATGGCAGGAACACCGTGAGTTTCCCTTTGTGACTTAGGAGATCACTGGGTGTGGTTTTATCTGTAAGAGGCCCCACTGCACAGACCCTTTCCCAAACTGAAAGCACTGAAGACAGTTGTTGGATGCAGAGACAAGTTCACYGAGGTTTGACCTTTTCCAGCACTGCAGTACAACTCATCTCAGTGGAGAAAGCAGAATGATGGCTCTCCTGCACACCACACTAATTCCATCAGTTTACTCAGCATCCAAAGGGACTTTCAGAGTTAAAACCCACTGCTACCAGAACTTAGGAATGTTGCTTTCAGAGGGACAACACACAAACCAGCCCATACTGGTACAGTGTTACAATCCTAAAAGGGTCTTTGCTTCCTCACTCTGTGCCAGGAGGGTTTCACTGGCATACTTCTGGAGCAGCTCCATCTTCTTTCTCCGTACAAGAGCTTCCTCAATCTGCAGAGATAAAAACAGGATGCACTCAGCTTAATTGAGATGCTGAATCCTCATATGCTCCAGTATAGAAACACACAGCAAGAAGAAAAACACAGGAAAGGGCCTGTGAAAGTTGGAGCTGTGAACTGGTATAGAAGTAGTAGAACTAAGATGAGTCAGGACTATTTTTAATACTCAGCTGAAGCTCTTAGAAGTCAAAAGAACCAAAAAAAACATGCCTCTTTTCTGATCCATGCTCCCACCCTTGTTGCTCAGGGTGTTAGCTGCCATTTCATTTTGATCTCAGTACAGTCACTTGGATTTTGTTCCAAACAATTATCTCAGAAACAGTTTCAGGAAATGCAGAACATGTGGGCTATGCCACAGAACCCACATCTCTGAAATCACAGTTAGTGTGTGCCCTTCACATCAGCCATGGCCAGGAACCTCCATTCTGCATTTTGCCAGAAGTGCCAACATGATTCTTATGAAGCGYATACTTTGAAGTGTATACTACTAATAACAACCTGCAAGACCTGTTATAACTCAGTAATGATTTTATACTAGTCCAAATTGCACACAGCATCTCTCACAATGAGTGTTCTGAACATAAGTCTTTATTAATTTAGCCTCTAGAAGGCATAATCCTGTAGCCATCATGTATGGAATGATTTGCCACTAAGAAATAAAATCAGCTACAGAACTCCAGAACCTTTTTGCCTGAATTATTTTKCAAACAACCTGTTACTGTTCAAGTAATACATACCCTAAAGCAATTTCAAAAGAGCAGTCAGTTTAAGGTCATGCCACCAAAATAATTTTACAAAACTAATGAGAGCAAACTCTGCAATTCAAAAATCATCCCATTAAAYTAAAAAAACAAGTCAGACCATGAGCAAAAAGGCACAGTCCAGATGAAGCAGGCAATCCTAGTTATTGATCACAGCACCACCACACTTCATAATTTATGGAACACTTAGGAAGGTTTTGGAAATTCTCAGGTGAAAAGGATTATAGCACTGGTACCACAACTCTGACCAGTTCCACARCATCTGCAAGAGGATTAAACAGCTGCACAGTCAAGTGACAGAAATAACAAATTCAGGGCATTTTTACTGATATATATTAAGATCCGTCTTGCAAAAGCCAGAGCACATCTCTGCAGCTAAGTGTTATGTCTTACCTCCTGCTGGGTTGGCACTGGAACATGTGCAATAAATTTCTGTTGGCCATCTTCACCTTCTCTCTCCTTGCCACCTTCTTCATCAGACTAAAAAGTGAAAAAAACACATCAAGTTTATTTTGTACAGAAGTCATAAAACCCCTCCTTCTTCACTTGCTCTGCCAGAAGGAACCAGAGCACAGTCAACACCGCGAACATAGGAATGGATGAAGAGGAGTGAGCACCAAATGCACACAAGGACCACATGCAGACCCTGCTCCTTGACATTTTCAGCATTACTGCTTCCATTTCTCCTTTGGCCTTTGTTCTGCTGTGACATGGGCATGAATGCAAAGCTGTATTTCCTCCCCTTCCATAACTGTGGCTCCCACAGCAAAGCTATGAACAGGAGAGGAGCCAGCTAACAAAGAAGACAGCAAGTGCTTTAAAAACATAGGTACCATTTCCCTGTACAGCTCTGTACTGCTTTGGTCCCACCCCTGAGAGCTGGGCACATAAATCATGGGATAATACAAATAAAGCAGGGTACTGGAGGAGCCACCAGATCTACCTTATGGATTTCTCTTTTTTATTCTTGTGCTTAATCCACTTAGATACAGACTAAGAAAGGAGAACTTGTTTCCAGTAGCCCTTCTCCAGATCTCACTGGGAGCAGAGAGAAGAAACAAGAGCCAGGTCACAGCAGTGAGAGCAGCACCAGCAAAGCCTAGCTATATCACAATTCAAGTGTAAACAAGGCCCTAGAGCCCTTGGGGTTTTACACATTGGCAGTGTGGCATTATCCTGTACCCACAGCTGCTCGTGCTGTCACTGAGGCAGGTTGTACTCAGGAGCCACCACCTGGCAAACACAGAGCCAGTTAAACCACAGCAAGCTCTAGAAGGGGTTTTTCACTCAAGTGAAAGGTCTGCCCTCACTATCAGCCTTCAGCACTCCCTAAACTTGGGCCAAGCACTCCCCTGCTACCGATTCTCACTGAAAAGGGACAACTGTGTAGTGGGTCAGGTGGAGAGAGGGGCAGGACGGCAGTAGACAGGTCCTTGGCAGAATAACACCACGTCCAAGAAGGGAGCACAGAAGCATGTGGAATGTGACATCACCTGAGCCATCCCCTACCTCTTCCTCGTGGACAGCATAGATGTTTTCTTCCTCCTCCTCCTCACCTCTTGCCAGTCGTGCTTCTCTCTCCATTTTCCATTTTTCCACTGCTTCTGCTATAACTGGGTAGCAAAGGAAAATGGTAAGTGTGGCTGAGAGCCAGTTAGAGCAGCATGGGCTTATTTCCAAAGGACTTCAACTTTTTTTTTTTGCCTAAATCCTCCACACCAGCAGCACACCCTGTAGAACCTCTACGTAGCATGTAATATATGTATCAGTGTAGTCTGAGCAAAACCCCTGCTACCATTAGCAAGTGTGTACTTGCTAATGCCTTAATTTGGATACATTTTGGACTCTTAWATGTCACAGATAAATACCAACCTACTTTCTGACCTGAGAAGCAGGGTCACATGAGCAGGCTAAGTGGCTCTCACAGCTCTGTAGCCTGTCAGTAGCTACAGGGATGCTGATCCCCATGTGGTTAATTAAACATTATCATGCTCGTTACACTGACCACCCAYAGAAGGCTCTTTTTCTGTCTCAGGGTATTTATCTTATTTTGTAGCACAATCCAAATTCTGAGCCTTGCAGCAACCTGGCAGATTCCACCTAGCAGCATCTCTATTACAGAAGAGTGACAGTAAGAGCACTAAAACAAGTTTTAAGAAGCTTAATTAGTGACATGGCCAGYGGTAAGATCCTCCAGAGGTGCCAGATTAATGCATGTTGGCAGTAGGAAATGCCAACAGCAACAGGAGCCAGCAGGCATCCCCAAAGCTCTCACAGATCACACACTGAAATGCTCTGAGAGGGCAAGACCCAACCAGTGGCACATGATTTGTGTGTGTGGCTCCCTAACAGAAAAGGAACCACAAATAAAGAATCTTTTTCAAAACTTTGTTTCACAAAAGCTTTACTTAACAAGGCAAAAAACCATAAAATCCCGGACAACCACTGACCCTGAGAGAAGCCCAGCTCTTGAGCACAAATTGGACATTAACAGCACACCTACTGGCTCTGTCAGTRTCTCCAGCCCTGTCCAGATGGCACAATCACCACAGATGACGATTTTCTGAACCRACCTCCTGAATGCAGCCCAGGTAGCCCTGCAGCCAGCAGGATGTGCAGGATGGACCCTGAGTGGGACTCTCACCACACAACTTCCCTTCCTGCACTATCAGCTGACTGCAGCCAGCTCCATTCCCAGGGTTCAGGGCTCCAGGCTCTGCTGCAGGATACTGATAAGTGAAGCACTTCCTTCAGCCCCCTTCTTCCCTGCCCTACCATCTAACCAGCAAGGCAGGACCTTGAACACACAATTCTGTGAATGCCTCACACGTGGAGAAAGGATAAGGCTGTGAGGATCAGCCAGTGCTCAGCAAAAGCACCAAGAGAACTATGCAGGAAACAGCCAACCTCTTAAAGGTTGTCTATGCCCTATACTGAGAGCTACACAAATCCCAGAAAATGTCATACAATGCTGAGTTTTGAAGAGAGTTTCAGGAATACAGATGCATAATCCTGGTACGTTTACCAGAGAAGTCAGTAAAAAACTATGTGAGCAGACAAATGGCTAAGTGTTATTTATTGAAGAAGAGGTTTCAAAGGAAAAAATATTCACAAATGTGTTAAAATTCCAAGACAGATGACATGAATGAACGAACACAACCCACCTAGACTTCAGGTTTTCCAGCATGTCCCTCTAATCTCCCAGAAAAGTAGCCAGCTATGTTTATGGATAAATAAATAATGAGGTGAGACAGGAAACAGATGGTAGGGTCAGTTCTCACAAGGGAGGGAGAGAACTGCTTGGGTTTCACAGATCTTGCTGCAATTTACGTTTCTACATCCTTAAGCAGGAAAAAAAGTGGGGAGGAAAGAGGAGTTTTTGCTTCAATAGTGAACAACTTGCTGACAATAGTAATTAATTAACAGTAGTAAAGATGAAAGTCAACTCTAAAATACCTCCCCCTGAAATACCTTTTGTGATTTGGATACCCTTGTGACAAAGTCTGACAGCTAAGCACAAGACAAGGCCCACAGGGGGAGAWAAAAGTACCTGAATTTCAGAGACCACCTGGGCTGATCCACCAGGGCTGGAATCTCACATACCTTTCTTCTCATGTTCCTGTTCCAGGGGCTCCAGAATCCCATCATCCTCATCCCTGTAGCCATAGTACTCAGCATCGATGTCCTTCATCAGCTCAGCCCGAGTCTTCCGTGGGGGTGGCAGGGCTGGAAGAACACCACTGTCACCCACTCGGTCACCTCAAGCTGAGTGTCCCCAGCTCCTCCCAAACCTCAYAGCACCCACAGCTACCTCACTCCAGCCAATACCCAGCATGATGGAACTGCTGCCAGCACTGGGAGCACTGGTGTCACACCCTGGCCTGCACAAACCAGTTCCAGTACATGACCCAATGCTTCCCCCACATCCTGGAGTACTTCTCATGATTTGTCTTTGCCTCACGTTCAGGCCCAAGCAATTCCCACTCATTCTGTGATGAAGTACTACCCCCTTACATCTATTTTTTCCTGTTATGAAAGCTGTTTCAAAAACAGTGTTCAACACAGCTTTCCCCTTCATTCTTTTTCTAGTCCTGAACTCCAAGTACCATTTACAACTTCTCAATAAAGTATGCCTGCTATGCTGACAARTTTCTGTAGGACATCATCCTTACCATTTGTAAGTAGAAATCAGTTTACTCTTTTCTAGATTTCCTTAACTGCAAATAGCCAAAGGTGTTCTTTGGCCAAAGAAATTGCWTTTAATTAATTACCTGTGCTCAGTGTTTCATTGAGCTGACCTAAGACATTCAGAAATGCTGTTACCAGCACTCGCCACAAACTACAACATTTTACTCAGGATGYTCTACTGCACAGACTCATGTCTGGGAAGAGGTGCTCTTTACTTACGTTCCTTTTCAAAGAGCTCTCTAACTCCTGGCAAATCCTTTGCAGCCCCAAAGTATTTGTAGCCTCTGTTTCCYGGAACTTCTTTCCCTTCATGATCTAACATCTTTGGGCCAATCCGCTGGAAAACAAACAAAGTTCATAGTTTAAAACTCCCTTCTAACACAACCAAACATTTTTAGGGGCTGAACAGATTCCCTCTAATAAACACTGACCAAACCATCCATGMATAACTAAACGTTGCACACTTTTCTCAGCAGTCACTTCACTTGTAAGCAGAACAACCAGGCAGTACAACACATTCTTCACTTACAGCATAATCAGGACCTCCCAGTTCCTTTATTCTGTATTCCCAGTGTCCTTTCTCCCTCAGAAGTTTGTTTATCTCATCGTTCAGGTCCCGAATTCTGAATTCACCCAATCCAGCTGTTACAGAGGAAAMGGACAATAAATTAGGCAGCTCACTGGAAGCACCAGAGGAATTTCCAAATTGATGCAATGGAATCAGTATAGCTCAGATTAAATTTTTCTGTGATTTTTACTCTAACTGCTTATGACTGGAAATTAAAAAAATAAAATATAGKTACAAAAATCTTACCATTTTGAATCTGTGCCACTTTCTTGGAAATCTCCCCAATGATCTAGTCAAATAAGAACACAGAAWTTAATGTCCAAGTCAATGGAGGGYACAGAGAAGGCAGAGCCACATTGCTTAAGAAGTGCATGACAACAGGACAAGTAGCAACAAAACACAAGCTGAAACTGGAGAAATTCAGTTTAAATTTCACTAATTCAAGAGGATTAAATTCAAGGGCACGGGAAAGAAATCATTAAGGAGGTAATCAAACACTGGAACAGCAGCCCCAAAAAGCTGTGGAAACTAAACCCCTGAAGATATTTAAAACTCAGCAGGACATGGCCCTGGGACAACCTGACATCATAGGACCTGCYCTGAACACTGAGATGTACAATCTTCCAATCTAAAATATTCTGTGATTTAATAGTCAGAATTCTGATAAGTGTGAGAAAACCTCTTGCGAGAAGGCTGTCTAAATAGGAAGTGCTAAAGTTCTACTTTCTATAGAATTATAAAAATCCATAGTTGACATTACCTGTCTCCTCCATTTCTCAGCTTTGGGCAGCTCATTACACTCTGATGCAAGGAAAGGTCTTCGCTCCTGTTTTACACCACAAACAAAAACCACACACCATCAAATTCAGCTGAGCATCAACACACAGCATTTCACACAGGCTTCATTGCTCAATTAATCCCAAATTATGCTATCAAGCTCCACAGCCTTCAGCTCCCATAGATTTTTACAAAGTGGAAAACAACAACGATTTACAGCCCTGACAAATTATACTGTCAGATTATAAAAACCTATTTAAACACACTTTGTCCAAATAAAAATCTGTCACCTGTTTTTTGAAAACACCCTACAATCCCCTCCAATAAATACAATCTTCCATTCAGGACAGTTTCACCACTTTCAGCACACACCACCTGGTTAAGGTGACACCCTTCTCAACTAAATAATGTCATTTTTTCCAAGATGACTTTGTTTTGTACTCTCCTGACTACAGTTAATACAAAGCATCTTCTTCCCAACCTTCTTCACATTCCATTGACTTGCTTACACAAATGAACACTTCATCTTGCTTCTAGGGCTATATGTGCAGTTATTTTAGTTTTTTCCCCACAGCTTTGTGTTTTATTAAAAATACCTTATATTAAAAGATATTAAAACCCCTTCCTCTGCCTAATATACTGGACACTCTATTCCATGTTCACCTCTATCTGTTGTTCATGGAATCATTTCCACCACAGTTTCTCCAAAGTTATTTTTTTACTTCCCTGTTTCGTATTACTCAGGGATAAACTATCCAGAAAGTTTACTGAGAACACTCTGATGCCCACCTAAACACTTTTTTCAATTTGACTTATGATCCAGTGAAGAACATTCAGTTATAATCAGAGATAATTGGGGATCAGTCTCTAAGAGTTTGTGTGGGTTTAAGGGTGCTGTTGCTTGTATTGTAGTGGTGGGGATTTTTAATTTATAAATTAAAGTCCATTTTTTTTGTCAATCTTACAGCAATCAAAAGCCCAATCTTTGTGCCAGTGCAGACCATGATGAACAGCAGTGCAGCTGTCGTGCACTGGGTGAACAACATTCCAACCTTGTGTCTCATGGGAGTCTCCAGTCCACAGAGCTCCCAAAGGCTTCTGCTCAGTGGTTACTGTTTYATCAGATCACCAATGAATGAGATTATGAGAAGGATTTATTTACTTCTAGTAAGAAATCCAAACAAACCTTGTGATTTCTGTCTGTAAATGTGTTTGTGCCTCAGTTTACATAAGCAGTTGCAGGAGGTAACTTCAGTCTCAAAAATAATGTTCCTTTTCTGTCCAGTATGCTGCCTCTATTTAGAGCATAACTGCAGGGTTTTTTTGGGCATTTTTTCCCAAACTATTATATATAAAAACAGATTTTCAATTTGCATTTTCTTCTTGGCAGCCAAGCTAACATATCTCTGAAACATACATATATCAATACATACAAATAAGTATGTGTGTATATATATATATATATATATATATATATATATAGTTTTTAAGTAATTTATTTAAGAAACTGTTTACCATTTCTGGTTGTGTGATGTGAAATACAGTCAGTTGAAATACTTTCCTTCTAACTGGAGTCAGGTTTCTGCAGGATACCTGGGCCTGGCCTATGACCCAACATAGCTTTGAACTAGGCCTGCCTTCCTCCCTGACTTGAGCTACCAAATCTTCAGGGCTTTTACATCTTACCTTGACTTTTCCTTCCTCAAGCTGGGCTTGCCGAAATCTTGCCAAGGCCGTCCTAAAGAAAAGAATGCAGATTTACTTTTACAACTGCACATTCCAACAGGAACAAGTTTTGCTCTGGATGTTTATCATGGACTTAATTACAGTCTAGAAAACAAAGGCTTGAACACGTTCTTTGAGCACCTTGAACTCTTCCAGCTAATGCCTTCTCAACATCAGAAATCCTCAGTGGTTCACTTCTCAAATAAAGCAATGTTGACAGGTTCCTATCTGGCCCAGCACCTCTATTCCCAAAACAGGAACTGCCTAAAACCCCAAGGGTCCTTTACAGCATATTGCAGTGCACTTATCCCCCAGCCCTTGCTGCAGGGTCTCTCCTGCACAGAACCACCTAGCACAGCTACAGGAGCTCCACAGGAGGTGGAGGTGCAGGTGCTCTCCTATTCCCACYGCCCCTGGACAAGCACATGCATAACTAAGTAGCCAAAAGCATCATTAAACTGCTGATGCTTTAAAAGAGGCTGAACAGCGAGTCCCACTGGGCCAGCCAGTCACAGCCAGCAGGCACAGATACGTGAGACCAGGTGCAGGCAATGCCCCGAACCGGCACGGTTGTCTGGAACCAGGTATAGCCACAGCCTCAGACAGGTGACCCATGACTCAAACGGTGCCCGCCCTGCAGTGCCCCCGCCGCACTCACATGGCCTTCTCCGCGTTGCGAGCCTGCAAGACACAAACAGAGCGGCCCCAGTCAGCCCCGGCCCCGCCTGAAGGGACCCACCGTGCTCCCCGCCCTCAGCGGTCCTAGCCCGGGACCGGTCCCCTCCGAGCCCCTCGCCAGGCAATGGCGCCACGGAACAAGCGCCCAGCAAGCTCCGGCCCCAGCCCCGCGCTCACCATGGCCCTGCTCTGCCCCTCAGTCCCTCAGTCCCGCACTCACCATGGTCCCGTTCTGCCCCTCAGCCCCGCACTCACCATGGTCCCGTTCTGCCCCTCAGTCCTCCCTCAGCCCCGCACTCACCATGGTCCCGTTCTGCCCCTCAGTCCCGCACTCACCATGGTCCCGTTCTGCCCCTCAGTCCCGCACTCACCATGGTCCCGTTCCGCCCCTCAGTCCCGCACTCAACATGGTCCCGTTCTGCCCCTCACTCCCTCAGTCCCGCACTCACCATGGTCCCGTTCTGCCCCTCAGTCCCGCACTCACCATGGTCCCGTTCTGCCCCTCAGCCCCGCACTCACCGTGGTCCCGTTCCGCCCCTCAGTCCCGCACTCACCATGGTCCCGTTCCGCCCCTCAGTCCCGCATTCACCATGGTCCCGTTCTGCCCTTCAGTCCCCCTCAGCCCCGCACTCACCATGGTCCCGTTCTGCCCCTCAGTCCCGCACTCACCATGGTCCCGTTCCGCCCCTCAGTCCCGCACTCACCATGGTCCCGTTCTGCCCCTCAGTCCCTCAGCCCCGCACTCACCATGGTCCCGTTCCGCCCCGCAGTCCCTCAGCCCCGCACTCACCATGGTCCCGTTCTGCCCCTCAGCCCCGCACTCACCATGGTCCCGTTCCGCCCCTCAGCCCCGCACTCACCATGGTCCCGTTCCGCCCCTCAGTCCCGCACTCACCATGGTCCCGTTCCGCCCCGCAGTCCCTCAGCCCCGCCGAACGCGCCGCGCACGAAGCAATTCCGAGACCCGGAACTGAACTCGCCCCGCTCCCCCGTGCGCCTGCGCACCCCGCCCCCCGCGCATGCGCAGAACTCGGTGCGTGACCCCGCGCCGACGCTGCGCGCTCCCGGGCGGTGTCGGGGCCGCGCCGGGGCCTCTGGGACCGAGTGGGGAAATATGGAAATAGTTTGGGTGCGAAGGGACCTTGACTATCCAGTGCCACCCCTGCCATGGCAGGGACACCTCCCACTGTCTTCAGCCTGCCCCCAGCCCCAATGTCCAGCCTGGTCTTGGACACTGCCAGGGATCCATGGACAGCCACAGCTTCTCTGGGCACCCTGTGCCAGGGCCTCCCCACCCTCACAAGCCAAGAAGCTCCTTCTAATACGTAATTAAATTTGCCCTCATTCAATCTGTACCCATTTCCCCTTGTCCTGTTACTCCGAGCAGTCCCTCTCCAGCTCCATGTGGTCTCTTCAGGCTCTGGAAGGTGCTGTGGGGTCTCTCGGCAGCCTTCTCCAGGCTGTGCAGCCCCAGCCCTCCCAGCCTGGCTCCACCTGCTCCAGCCCTGCTGACATCCTCATGTCCCTTTGGATGTGCTCCAACAGTCCTGTGTCGTGTTGGGGACACCAGAAGTGCACACTGTGTTCCGTTGGGCTCTAACAAGGGCAGAGTACAGGGGGAGAATTTCCTCCCTCACCCTGCTGGTCMCASTCSTGACGATGSAGCCCAGGGTTCCATTCACGTTCTGGGCTGTRAGCACACAGGGCTGGCTCCTGTTGTTTTACAAGTTACACCAGTCCTCATCAGCTGCTCCAAAACCCAAACTGGGATGACTTGCTTTCAGACAATTCATTCAGGTGCTCCCAGCAGTTCTCGGAAAATGAAATCTTCCTATCCAGAAACTGTACCCCTTCAAAGAGTTTCTGTAAAATTTCTGTTTCTATAAAGTAACACATTTGTCTCTGCCTTCTTGATCCATAAAAATCCACCATGTCTATAAAAAGCACTACCCTGAACTTTGCTATAACGAGTGAGGCAATACCACAATGAATGAGATACCTCAGTGTTAGTGAAAAGATCAACGTGGAACAAATGAAGAATTAGGTTTGATTTTTTTCATGTTCCCACAATTCAGGAAATTATCACTTGCTTGTCCAGCTCCTGTTCACTCRGGACCAACTGACCCCAGAAAGGCAACACCAATATTCTGACAGAAAGATAAACAGGAAGAGGCATTTCTGTCAGAATAATTATTCTCCTTTTGTAACTTGCAGCCTGGTTTGTGCTTCTCTGCTTTTAAATCTTGTTTTCTTTGCATAAAAATATTGTTAGAAGAAAACGTATTTTTTTCCAGTGCCAGTTAAGTCCTAAAGACTTCCAGCTTTTTGTAATCACAGAGGTTCGAGCTTTACAACTGTTTAAGRTAATTGTGTGCAGACTCAATTTATCCCAACCAACCAGGCTGGAACACCACGTGTTGGGTATCCACACCACCCCAGGACAACCCACACCCTTCACTCTTGCTTTCAAAATTAGCAGGAATGTAAACCTGACAGTAACTGGGTAATTGTAACACAGATGAAGAAGAGACAGTGCCAGTTCAGTTGTCTGCAGCATGGCAACTGTCTGGTTTTTCTCCCTCTAGGAACAGAGATCACAGCCCATCTTTTGCTGCTACAGCACACACAGCTTTGGGGATTTGAGAAGGGAAACCCTGTAGACTGACAATTCAACCACCAGTTGAGCACAGCACACTATCCCAGCTCCTCACTGCAGATTYCAAAGGATCTGCTAGAGGTTAAGGACAGCCAGCAGCTCCAAGGCACTCCGGGCAAAGCTCAATCTTTACACCAAATGYTGAGACAGCCCTTCTCCAATCCTGCCTTTCAGTGAAGCACTGGCTTGCCAGGAGCTCCTGCAGACTTTATTCCCTGAGTGGAGATGCAGATCCAGTTTGTCAGCTCCTTTTTCAGCTGTGTAACTTCCCAACCATTCACTGACCCYCAGTGAACCAACACAGCACAACCACCCATGGACAGAGCAAGTGCAGATGCTTCAAGTTCTCRGTGCAGTGATCTTGGTGAAAGCTCAAGTACTGCTGGACAGAACTGAGCTACTCAAGAGTTCCAAACTCCTTGCACCTCCACCAATTTCTGTGCCTCCCTCCTTTGATGGTTTTCCACCAAATGCTTAAACTGCACCAGCACAGATGCAATCAGYCCCCCATCCAGACCCCACATCCCACTCCCATGAACATCTGCACACAGGACTGCACACAACACATTTACAGCTGGATGCYACAGGATGGGAACTCAACATCAGACAGCACAAAAGAAAAGGCCAAGCTGAACCTCCAACATACCCCTTTTTAATATGTTATTTTGCACTGTGTACAGGAAAACCAAAAATAAACAAAAGGAACTTTAGCCAAACTCCCCTTCCTCCTCCAGCTTTATTGATAGTTTAAAATTACATTTTCTATGTTCTAGGACTTCAATTGCTCTTACCATCTTACTTTAAAAACCGATTACAAGCAAATGAAACTCAGTTGTCTAAGTGATATAGTATACAAAAATAACATCTTGATTTCTGTGAAAATGCATTTATTTGCAACTCCTGAATAGCTCCAAATTGTATATGCTATGAGCACTGACGTCTGGGTTTCAGATTGACTTTGAGATATTTATTCAAAAGCTTCCCATTGCGTTCTGTATCTCCAACATTAACATTCACTGACTGAATTACTGTTACTTTTAGATTTATTTCAGATTTCTCTCTCTCTCTCTCATGGCCATTAACAGGCATGTGCATCTTGTTTGTTTACTCCCACTCAGCTATATGCTCTAGGTAGGGCCTGATGCAGATATCACTTGGTGTTAACAGCTACTGAGGTCAGACAATCCAAGGCCATTGTAATAAAATAAAAGTTATGAGGAAGTTTAGACACTTCCAGAATTTCTTTCCTCCTGCATAGGATCACTTCCCTGTAACCCAGAGAGGGTTTTTGCTGGTCTGACTCAACTCTTCCCACTCATCAATCCCTATTCACCAGTGGCACGGAAAGGGGGTTCTTTAACAAAGCATTATACATAACACCTCTACCAAACTAAACATAAACATTTTTGTAGTTAAATGCAGAAAGTTGATTTTTCCACCCCTTTCCTCCTTTTACACGGCAAGTAAAGCTCACTGGCCTGGGAGTAGCCTCTATCTGCCAACCTTTGGCCAGTGAAGAGGATTCAGAGAAAAATAATACAACCATCAATCAGAAAAAGGAGGGGCGACAAAGGAAAATAATTAGGCTGTAGCTTCAATTGTGCATTCCCGTGCAAGGTGCCCTGACTCGCCGCAGCGGTAGCAGTTGACTTCGCTGGTCTTGCTGCAGTTGATGGCTACATGGCCAGTTTCACCACACCTGCAAAAGCAAAGGAGGTATCAGAACAGCCCCACTACTCACAGGAGCAATCCTACTCTGCTAAATATGTTGTCTACTTMAGTTTCATGCAACACTACCTCTCCCTTTGAGGCTTCTGCATCCCAGAATTCTCTGACACGAGGAAAGCTTGTCTTCAGCAGAGCCATGAACTGCTCCCAAATGATCAACTTACATTAATCACTGTATCTGCCAAAATCACTGTACATCAGCATTGGGTTTTTTTCCCAACTGTACTGTTTTTTGCCTGCTCCCAATGCTTCTGCCTGCAGTTYAGCCTTGTTTTGAGAATAATTAGTTTTAACTCAAATACATCATGTTCTCTCTCCTTCCTCTACAGAAGGGAATGTTGGTGGGGGTGAAGAATACTGCACTCAGGAACGTGCTGTTTCTGGTATATGCCTGCATTCAAAAATCAGACAACACACGGAAGATGGCATATGAAACCAATTTAACACCCACTTCTATTCACTGTTCCCATAACCRAGGCATCCTAAGTGTGTTCCTGCTGGGGCTGGCTGTGCCAGTCAGCTGGGCTGTACAGCTGGGGTTTGYCAGCTCTGGCAGAAGATACAGGGTACCCAATTCTTTGTGCTGTAGTCAAGTACGTCCTGYTACCTTCTGCAAAAGAACACGGCCCTTTCCCCTGTACAGCTCAAGTGATTTAACATCTGCATCGGGTGGCTATCTAGAAATATGTCATGGAATCTGTTCTCCACTTTGCTAATAGATATTTAAGCCTCTGTTTTGAACAACAGTAGGTAACTGTTCAACAAAACCAGTACCTGGTCACAGTTCGAGYGGTATTTCCTAACCAAAATCAGACACAGAATGCATCTAGCAGATGAGGTGCATCTTGCAGCTGCCTCCTGACAGTCCTTACCTATAGCATTTCACTTTGGTGCAGTCTTTTTGAATGTGCCCGAACTCTCCACAAGAATAGCACTTCTGCTCATCTGCATGGTCGCAGTCGCGGGCCAGGTGGCCAGGCTTGCCACAGTTGTAGCAGCACTGCTCTCTCTCCCTCTTGGGCTCCTTGCAGTCCTTCGCAATGTGGCCACCTCTACCGCAGTTATAGCAGGCTTCCACAATAAGAAAAACATACCAAACAAGACTATAAAACCTTGGTAGCATGAGGGGCAGCATGCTGTCAATAGGGGACATGCACAGCTTGTTCCCAGCAAATCCCTGTACCCTTCTCTTCAGTCAGAGCTCTGCTCGTGGCACTGAAGAGCTGGAATATTTAGTGATACTTACCATCCTCCTGAAGATCACAGTCCTTGGCAAGATGGCCAGACTCACCACAGCGGTAACAGATATCCGGCAGAGATGAAGACATGAACTGGAAGCCTGCTTGAAATGGGTAAAAGGGRAAAAAAAAGGCCTAAGTACTAAGTTTAGAATAATTTTAAGAATCAATCACAAACTGAACTGACAAGTTAGCTTCATTCTCAGAGCCCCTGGTCAAACTCTTAGGCAGAGGTAAATTTTCCTGGCTCTTATTAGCAATCTGAGTCCCCACTTCACTCTGGTCTACCAGAGCCAGTTTTACACACCACACACAGCAGCCAGCTGGAGATGTGCTGTCCAAACAAACAGAAA